ATTAACCTAGATTTTTAGAAAATTTATATAAATATTTTAAAGAGGCAGAATGTGAACACCATCTCCAGCATTTGTCAGGATTGCAAGATGGATTAAATTTTACATTGTTTGCCCCGTTATCCGAACCTTTGTATATTCTAATTGTTGGAGATCATACCAGGCTGAGACAATTGACATACTGTTATATTCCACTACAGACTATAAAAATGAGAGGTAAAAGATTACTAGGTTCCATGTCCAGATGTGTTTGATCAAAAATGGATAAAAATGTGCATATAAACCCCACTTGCTTGCTCAATCTAGAGAATGAAAAAGAGAAAATCGGAGCATTTCAATTTTCACTTTTTTGCAACTTATTCCTGTTCGTGTTTTGCGGTTTGCGTGAGTTCTTTTTTCTCGTTGATTCGTTTACTTAAAAGTATTAAATTTCCAGCATCCAGTTGAATTTGGTCACTGAAGTGACTCATGAATCCAGATTCCTTTCTACTGTATTTTCCCAGATGATTTAAAAATCCTTTTCAAGTGTCCGAATGAGCTGAAAACGTTGTCGTATCTCACTCACCACAAGGACATCCAGGTTGTGGTGGGCGGCGTTGCTTCATGCAGCAGCTATTCAGGATCAAAGACGTCACGGAATACGAGGAATTGTTGTCTTCGCGTTATGTCCCGATTACGCGTCGAAGCATGAGACATTCTTATCGAAGCCGGCTGTACCTTTAGGGCTTTCGTCTCCTCCCCTGAAAAAAACTCCCTTTTCAGAAAGAGAAGCAGTGTTTCAAAAACCAACAATTAGATCTTTCGCATCACTTGAGGCCCAGCTTTTCTCCACGAGATAGGATTATAAGCGTCGCAAATGCCGGTTGAAGTAAAAACAAATTTTCTTCGCTTCGGAAAGGAAAAACAATAAAAGGACTACACCCACCGACTTATTAAAGTATTCTAATCTTTAAAGTGAATTGCTTTTTAAGTGGAACGTTTTATAAAGCAACATTTTTAAAAGCCACCAGGTGATTGCTACTTTGTTTCGATAATAGCATAAATATAACTATATTAATGGGGTTTTAAATACTGCTTTTGTCCTTTTTATATTGATGTCACTAGAACGCTAAATTAATTTTACGTATTAAACAAAAGGGAGCTACAGTTTACCGCTTTAATTTAAGGATTTCGTTTTTAATACTTGAGCTACTAACTCCTAAAACAAAGTATTACAGTATTCTAAATGAGCTTCAAATTCTCCAATATTCTAGTATTTTACGCAACAAAATATTTGTTTATTATTCTTTTGCAAGATGGAGGACCGCCAGATATTCATCTGAAAGTCAATTAATATCGTATTGTAATGCTCAATATGTTTTGGTCGATGCATGTTTCTAATTGATCTCTTTGATTCAGTCCATAAAGCAGTCTTTAGCCAATATTCCAATCAAAGGGATTACAAGTAATTCAAATCTAGTTGCTAATAAAACCTGAAATGCGGATAATGAAGAATCTTGTTGTGAATGATCAAGTCTTATTGTGAGTTAAATACATTATACTCTCTAATCATCGAAACATAATGTGCACGATCGACATCAAGATGATTAAACATGATGCTAAAAATTGTTTTTCAACTTCAAAGTTTTGTAAATGTAGTTTTACATTTTAGACTAACTAATTTTAGCTAATTTTAGACTATTTTAATGGAATTTTTTTATAACTGTTTAATGCATATGTTTACGTGCATGCTTGTGTGTGTGTACTTAAATGTTTCAATTTGAATATCACACAAATTCGTCCCATGAGCGAATTATAATAGCTTTGTACACAGAAATTTTGTCCTTGTTATAGATAAAGATAAAATTTCATATAGTTTAATTATTAGAAAAGATTTAAATGTCTACAAATCCTTCAAAATTCAAATCTCTACAGAAATTTAGATTAATTTCTTGAAATTTCATTGTATTCAGTAATAAACTCGGCCATAAACTTATATTTGAGGTTTCAGTATAATTCAATATAAACTTACATTTGAGGTTTCATCAGCATTTCAGTATTTTGTATTGATTACTGAAATACATTTAAGAAATTCATAACTCTATCGTACGGAAAATAATATTAAAAAATTAATAACTCTGTCATACGGAAAAATAATCAGATTTATTAATGGCTTAAGTTTGTTCACATTTTATGAATGCCAAATAGAAAGTTTGCATAATTATTGATACTACACAACTTGTTCTGCAGATAGACAGGAATCGTATTTCTAGCGACGGGGGCGGGGGTGGGCGAGTATAATTTTTCAATTTTCTGTCTGTTTTTTAATATTATGAAAATTCAACGTAAATACGGGTTCTTCATTTTATTGTGATTTTGCATTATACGAAACTTCAGATACTCAACTTAATCGACTTTCACATATGCAAGAACTCATTTATCCTAAGCGGCGGAGAAAAATAATTCTTAATTTAGAAAGTCTAAAAATCAGCCACTTCTAACTTCCTTCAAGTGAACTTTCTACGCTATCTCGTCATGTATGCGCATATTTTAATGCAAACCCGTAATCTCAGTATAACGTATGCCAAAGCAATAAATGGTTAAATGAAAATATAGCGTACGGTTAAACTTCTATCCAGGAGTATCTACGTCCATTTAGAAGTTATTTAGAAGTTTTTTGAATCGAAAGCATCAGATATTTCAAATTTTAGTCAATACGTTTTTCATATGTTAGAAAATATTTATCACTTGTTATCAAATATTTATCAGTTTACTACTAGTATGATGACGCAATTATTCCAGATGAGTTTTTGAAACTGGGAAATTAGTACAGTTATCCAAATAATATAACGGGTCCATTTTTTCATTTCATTTTTATAAGCTGCATTTCTTCTGTAAATACTCATGCATTTACCTAAAGAACTAATAATTTCCGACATGCTTTTTCCCAGCTTTGTCTACGGAGATTTGATTTAACAGTATTAAACTGAGGAAAAAAATTCCAAAAAAAAAAAAATAAATAAATAAATCATTTATTATGATCATTATAGAGACATTTTTGTGATAAAAATGAAACAAAATGAATAAGAAAAATGAAAATTTTGAAGATTAATTAATGCAAAATGCATTTAAAATAATATTTGCCGAAGATTATGCTTAAGAAATTATATTTTTATGAAAACCAACTTGACTAGGAACCTTTGGAGGGAGGGGGGAGATATTTCTGGAAATACTTCCGCTGTATATAGTTCCAGTATACGGAGTTTTACTTACAAAATATGTTTTTTACGTACTTTCCAGACACATTGGCAAAAATACGTAAAGTAATTATAATTTTTTCTGACGAAAACGTGTTTTCGAACAGTTAAAGAGAGGTTCATATTTTGATGATATCTGGTTTTAGACTTCAGGTACTTCTCAATCCGTTACATATCGAATACAATTACTGTAAATAAACAGTTTATAATACTCCCCACACACACTTGCAAATTTCGTTGCTACAAATGAAAAAGAAACTAACATTCGCTTTAGGTTTAATTTAAATCATCTGCAGTAGAAGACTGTTGCTCTAACCTTTTATTTTGTAGAAAACGAGCATGACTTCCGAATATACATATGCATATGCAAAATCCCATTTAAAGATAATATGCAAAACATCTTACTCCGGTGGTTATAAAATTCAAAATAAATTTAAAAACTGATGGCAAAAAGTGAGTGATAAAGTTAATGAAATCATTTTTAACCTAAATACAATAATAATTGTTTTATTCAATTACATGATAATTTTTCGCATTTTTGTTTAATTATCAATTAAAAAAATTAATAAAAATTAAAACTATTAGTATTATATATGTTTCTTGCCTCTAATTAATTATTAAATGCGAAGAGATATACAGTGACGTTAGAAATTTTGTAAACTATCTTATTATTTCTATGTTTTTCTTGATGGGGGGACTCTACGCTTTTTAAATAGTATATTATACTGCATTGTGTTGCATAAAATTATTTACATACTTTAAAAATTTTTCTAAAATATTTTATAACATTTTTCTGGTTTTTAGGTATTAATGCATATTTTATTCAATCAATTTACACTAATACTTACTAGCTACTGATATTTAAAAGAGGTATCTTATTTATCTTATGTCCGACTAAAATTGATCGGAACCTTATGTTGACATAGTAAAGCAACTCACCTTCGAAGATATAATTAACATATATATTCATGTTATTATTTATCTCAGTATCTCTCACGACAGAAAACAACACAATATTCAAATTTACCGCGTTGATACCCGAGCAAATATAAAATTATGAAAATTTGCTTTTAGCTTGAATATGAGCTTTAAGCAATTGCGCTGATTTTTTTAATAATTAAAGCAAACAAGTGGTGGTACTTAAATTCTCGCAAATTTCAATCCATTTAATTTTAGTTTTAATCAGCTGCGAGATAATTAATAGAGAAATGTAAATTCATCAAATTTAGTATAATAGTCAATATTTCAATCAGACTTGCAATATTGCATAACACTTTACAACATATATTACTGATTACATAATTATTTATGAGTAGGGAAAAATTGTACACTAGCATTTCTCATGCGCATAAAATAAAAGTAATGTTATAGTATATATGAAAGAATATTTTGGTATGACATATATTTTGGTATGAATATTTGGTATGACAAACGATCAGCATTTCAAAACACCTTGTATTTTTACTTACAGGTACAAATATTTTTATTCATAACGACTAATATTTAGAAACGAAATAATCCTAACACTAACACATGCTACATAATAAGCATTCTACTGTAGCAGTTATAAATATTATTGTTTTAGAGCCTGCATTTACAAAATAGTAAATTTAAGAAAATAATTTGTTTTTATACGAAATTTCCTCAGAGTTAAATATAATTACTTTCACTTTGACAAATAATAATAATACATTTTACATTTAAGAATAATGTTTCATTTTATATTTAAGAATAAAAAAAAATAAAAAAAATCAGAAGAATATTTACCTAAACCGGTAACACAAAACAGCAGTAGCGCGCTTACAGCTACCCTTAGCAGAGCCATCTCTTTTCTAATTGGGAAAAACCCCAGTTCGAAAGGATAACAGAACTTAATTGTTACTCATAGACTTCAAATTCGCCGGTCTTCCGTATCTTTTAGCACTAGTAGAGCAATGACCGAAACGTTAAGTAACTTGCTCTTTTGTAGAAACTGGCGACGAAACTTCTTTTCAGGTAACGCGATGTTATTACTTGGCGAGCAAAGCTACAGTAAAACGGGATTTTATACGCCAAAAGACTTTTTGAAGCTTTTAAAGTAGCCACATCTGAATTTTTGCAAATATCGTTTTGCCAGGGCCTAATTTCTAAAATTAGAAGAGCCTACCGTAGACCCTCAAGAAAGAGGAACAAGAATAAATAAATAAATAAAATAATTAATTATTAAAATAATCAATGATTAAAGTGATTAATAATTAAAGAAATATATTAAAATTTATTTCTTTGGTGATTTTAAATATTAGATTATTAGTCCAAAGGGGCTTTTTTCCTGGGGGACTATTGTTTTCGTTTTGCGGCGAATCACTCTGAATGTCCGTTTCACTTTTCAAACTGTTGCCACCGAATATTATCGCCCTGTATTATATTTGAAGAAATTAAATAATGAAGAATCTGCATAAATGTATGTATGTATTTCGCATTGTGATAAAATAACAGTATCTAGAACCATCCAATTTTGAATGACGCAATCCTACTGCGAATATGGGCATCCGAAAGTCCAGATTTGAAATTTGTTTCATTATCGATTTCATATTTTGTAAAACTTTAACGAATTTTTGATTTTTAAATTTCAAATTTGGTCTTCCACATGCCCATATCCGTAGGAGGATTACGTCATTCAAAATTCGATGGCTCTATGTACCGTTGTTTTATCAGAATGCGAGAAATATACACACATTTATGCAGATTTTTCATTATTTGATTTCTTCAAATCTAATGCAGGACTCTAACATTTGGTGGCAACAGTTTGAAAAGTGAAACAGACATTTATAGTGATTCAACGCAAAATCGCAAAACGGAAACAATAGTCCTTCAGGGACAAATCCCCTTTGGACTAACTATTATTATTATTTTTCTTTTTTTCGGTCTTCGGGCGTTTCTGAAGTCGAGAGTTCATTGCATATGCAGAATTTTTTTTCCTGAAAATAACTAAACACTTCCAGCAAATGGATGGGAATAGAGCATGAAATACATTATTTGCTTATTCAATGAATTATAGCTCTGGAAAGGACTTTGGTATGCGGCAGACAGAACAGTTAAAATTCGTATTTCATTGACCTGACGCATTGCAATACAGGAAAACAATTAGTACAATCGAAAATTTGTAGATGTATTTAGAATCACCATTTTTCAGAACACAAAACAGTTTCTTTTTCAGGATGGAAGATAAATATTTTTAATTTAATACAGCTAGTTGAAATCTTAAATTAAGAGTCCGTAGGCAATTCTTTTGTTAAGCAGCAAATCAAGTTTAAAACATATGCAATTCATTGATGCAAAATGCATAAAAAAGCTTTTTAGAAGAGGTTATACTTATATCTGACTTCCTAAGGTTTGTTTTACGTAATATGTAGTAGAGACATTAGGTTATTTCGAAGCAGGAGAGATGAAAAATGAGCAACGAACTCGCCGGGAATCGAACCACTTACCCCTGGAATAGCGTCCAGCGTGCAGACCCACTACACTACGAAGACATGCTGAGAATGCGGGAGAAATACCTTATATACTTCCCCTTTTAAAGGGCAACTGGGGATTTTAGGGGACCGAATCGCCAAATCCTGGGTGTGGAGAATCATCATCCACCACCCTTTTAGTTCAGGCGCCATTAGGTTATTTCGAAGCAGGAGAGATGAAAAAATGAGCAAAGCCCTCGCCGGGAATCGAATCACGGACCTGTGGAATACGCACCCAGCGTGCAGACCACTACACTGCGTACCTCATAAGTGTATAAAGAAAGTCACGAAATTGGTATCAAATAGGTAGTTTAACCGCTTGAAATAGTATTCAAACATAATGTACCAGATCTCAAATTTCAGCCACTTAGTCATTTGTGGCCAGGTACAAGTATTTTAATTAAGCACAAATCTTCAAATTTACTGCATTTTCGTTCTGTAGACTATTATTCTGAAGTTAAATATATAAAATACATTACTATTAAAAATAGAATGAGATTTAATCTAATAAAAAATTAGTTGAATACAAACCACCTTGAATATTTTTCTAAAATATTTCATAGTAAATTATTTGAAATCTGATTATGTTTAATTACCATCAAAAATAAATAAATTTATTCTCAAATTAGCTCAGAATAGCTTTAAGAAAACTGTAAATAAATGTCGCATATGGAAAAACTTGTCACCAAATTCAGTCAATTAGAATTTTACAATACTTTTTTTTTATTTTTTGTTATGTGTTCACCAATGGACGAATCAGCTGAGACTCATGAACAACGGTAATTAATTGAACGTGCACTCGATTTTTGGTAAATGGAGTATCTGTTTGGGATTTTTTGTTTTGTTTTGTTTTTCCCTCATGTAACATTAATATTAACCAATTTCCCTCAGAAAGTCATCCATAAATGCATCCCTCCTCAGGCAGACAAACTTCGTTAGATTTGTTATATTCGATTGAATAAACAAATAATGTATTTCATGCTCTATTCCCATCCATTTGCAGGAAGAGTTTCGTTATTTTCAGGGAAAAAAATTCTGCATATGCAATGAACTCTCAACTTTAAAAACGCGCGGAGACCGAAAAAAAGAAGTAAAATAATAATAATAATAATAAATTTCATATTTTTTAAAAATTTATTTAGTTATTTTTTTAATGTTTCGCAAACGCCCAATATATTTGCCTTTGTTGATGTGGCAATATCTACACAAAAATTCATCTTAGTTCACACTCGTGCTAGCATATCACGATCGATTAAAGTTATAGCATCGATAATATCGCTCTTTCAAATTAATGAAAAGGTGTCAAAACAGTCCTTGACTCCCCCTACACACACAAGAATAAGTCACATGGAATAAATCCGAAGATCGGACCACGGCATCAATACATGCCTCACCTCCATATCTTGTACGTCATATTCATCTCAGCTACTTTGTTTGATTGAGATACTTTCAATAATGGTCTCTATACTTGAAACAAAATTGGACTAAAACACTCTCGCAAATAGCCTATAAAACAGTAATAATTGTCTTGCCGAAAGAGATAATCGTCACTGTTTTCAATCAAATGCGACATCAGCCAGCTTTCCAATAAGTCGAATTAAATTCTATTGATGATGCATAGATATACGCCATACAAGCTAAGATAGACACAATGAGTACTTTGCAAATGTATATATATATACAGGATAATGCCGTATTATTAATTAAATGTTCAATTATCCGGAGCTACTGCCGGAGAAACTGGTGATGGATAATTGAAAAACACTGCTAATAGAAACTATCAATTTTCATGCATATTGTGTGTATTTATTTCTTAAAAAAATCACTAATTTTATTTTGTTTTTGATAACGCTTCAATATTTGTAGAATTTCCCTATGCTTTAAGTGCTATTTCATCATAGTATTCGAATCCCCTCGAATGGTCGACGAAGTCCAATAGAGTTTCAACAGAAGTCATTGCTGTCTCAGGACTAATGTAATTAATAGAATCTTCTTCGCTTATATTTTCAGTATCATTTTCAATCTTTTATGTTCGAGTGACATTTTAAACATTAACTGCATCACTCAAACACCCACACACTAAACATACACTCATCCGAATCACTATCGAACCATTTGTCGATGTTTTTCCTAATCGATATTTTCGAAAAATTTTACATTTTCAATTTTTTAACATTCAACTTATGTTACTGCCTCAACTTTTTCCTAATTAGATAAATCTAATCTCATACGTAGTATCATATCTTCTGTACTACTTTTGTCTTGGAAGGTATTTGTGCAAGTGATAGCAAATTATTTGCATTATCCCATCTACAGATATGGATACACAGACAAAAATATATAAAGATTTATGATAAGATCATCATAGACCATGCTCTGTGCGATCTGCCGGACTAAATCAATATTGAATAAAAGCAATTGCCTCGTTATAGCCAGGATATCAATAATAATAGACAATCAATTACTTATAGTGATCTGATAACCTAGAATCTCTTTCTAAATTTAAGTGTTGAATGGCCTTCTAGGTATATTTCACTACTCACTGTGAAAGCTAGGAAATTCAGCAGGAAACGATAGAATTCTTTAAATCTGTAAAGACTTTTTATTCTTAAAATCTCAATGAATAAAAGCTGTCCATAAAGCTCCCAACTGTGGACCAGTTTCATTTTGCATAAATACGCTCAGTATTTCTATCGAAAAAAATTGAAGCTGTGATTGAGCCATAACTTAAACCCCCTTCGAAACTTATAGCAGCACGTAAACCAATAGTAAGCAAAAGTATTGACGGCAGAGGTGGCGGTTATAGCCTCTTTCTTTCTCCTGCCAAACCTCGGCTTTTAAATACCTCCTTCAAAATAGAAATTTGCATTCCATCACACGTGCTACAAAATTTAACTATTCTGACAATTAGAGGAATGAAGGCTTATAGGAAAGTTTAAAATAAAATTTTAACTTGTTAGTTAAAAAAAATATAAATCCCTACAAAGTGAACCACATACTAGCATCAGAATTAAGACATCCTTAAAAAAATTCAGTTGGAAAAAATGCAGAAGAATCCATATTTTAATTATCAGCAATTTATATGCAGGTTAATTTGAAGGATAAGTTCATTTAGTTTCGTAAATTAAATTAGCATTTGAAAGAGAAAGACCCCACCAGTTTTAAAGTGTTTAAAGACTATTGCATACCGATAGTGCATCTCATGTTTGAATCCAAGCGAATGAGCTAATTGCATGGCTGGTTTTCCCTATGTGTAATGAGTATATCAGCTCTTTCCTTTAAAAATCCTCCATGAGCACACACCTCCCTTTAGACAGATAGCCCTTATGTGCTTAGACACATTCAAATAACCTAACCTCAAAACTGAAAGAATAATGTTTTTTTTTCTTACTGTTGTATTTTTGTAGAGGTTGATGGGAAAATGATTAATGTTATACACCAAATTTACTTTA